AAAGGGGTGGACCTATTTAATTCCCTAACAAACTGTTCCCATTCCTGTTGCCTAAGTTTCTTCCTTTTCCGATTCCTTGCATTTGTTAGTGCAGCTTGGGAAACGTTGTGAGCAGTCTGGGGGTTCTACATCAACGGTATGCTTTAACACAATCCTCCTATCTGCATGTGTTAGAATTGCGCAGCTGTGGATCAATATAAGTATTTACATTGGATTTTATTGTATTATAGTGGAGGGTCTTTTGTTTCCTATCCTGCCCACTTTGATTCGTGAGAACACTCCACAATAGTGGGGTAATTAAATCACATCATATAAAATTTGTGTGCCAGTGGGCTCGTAATTCTTATACCATTGAGTCCCAAGGTTTAATAAAGTTGTCTCTGAGTCGGTTTGAGAATAAGTTTCCACCTTCTGTATTAGGCTTTAGCTCCTTGATTGCTGGAGATTGTGTCAAGATTGACAGTTGTTATCCTGGGAAGTAGATCAGATAGAAAGATCACACTATGACAGAGTCATGCATCTTATAGATGTATTAAATCCAAGACACAGATCAGTAAGCCACCATATATGTGAGTAGGCTCAGTAGGTCCCACAATTCGAACATATCTGCTCATGGTCAGCAATCTCACTAGTTTAGTTCCAATGGTGTTTGTAATAGACCCACCATATTCTTATGTCTGGCATAAAAATCTCAAGAATGGATGGTAGGTCACTATGATGCGATCTGTAAAGGCATCAGGTCCGAACGCTGGATCGCTGGGGCATAGAGATTAAAAATGTTTATGGAAAAAAGCCTCCTGCATATACTTTGACACCATGATACTGCATGTTAACCGACTCTGCGAAGGAAAGAGTGAATGTGGCAAGTTCTTTCTGACAAACATCACACAACAGTTTGGTTTGACCTTAGGTTTATAAGCTGCATAACCCCAGGTCAAGTTTGGTGAGGTGCCCCATCATTCAATCTACATATCCTGCAAACAATGACACATCAATATTCTTGTTGCACTAAATGATGTAAGACAGGCAACCGCTTCCTGAATGTGAAGCAATGTTCCATGAAAAGATTGTGTAAGTATCCATTGTAGTGAGTTATTACAATCTCTTGCCTATAAGATGGTAAAACTATTATGCTTTGACTGCAGTGTGGCAGACATTAAGACAAAGAAGCATATTTTGGTACGTCTTTATGTCTTCAGGAAACCTTTTATTTTAAGCATTTTTTTTTTTTCGGCATTTTGGCAGCCAGTATAAGGCAATTTTTGATAGGCAAGTGTTATGGGCTTTCTTTCGCACAATTGTGGAAGGGTGCTTACACTACAGTTTTTACACTGCAACATTAACACCCCTCCTTCGAGTGCAGGCACAGTACTTCCCCATCTCCAGGACTCAAGACCAGCCTTCAGTTTTCCCTGAACCCATCCAAAGTGTTACTTTTCACACAACTTACCAACAGCACGTCAAGTATTAAAAACCATTTTGGGTCCCATTCACTCCTATCAAACGACGCTTCCCGGCATGCATGCTGGAAGTCCAAGCCCCTCGCACACAAAACCTCCTTTACCCCTCTCTCCATCCTGTCCTAGGCCGCCCCCTACCCCGCCTTCCTTCCACATCAGACTGATTACACTCTTGAAGTATACTGTTTCGCTCCATACCTCTACATGTCCGAACCGACCTCAACAAACCCTACCTCAGCCCTCTGGACAACATTTTTGGTAATCCCCGCACCGACCCTCCTAAACTTCCAACTACGAATTCTCTGCATTATAATCACACCACACCTTGCCCCTCAGACATGACAAATCCGCTCCTCCAGCCTTCTCCACACAGCAACATTCATCACCCAAGCTTCACACCTATATAAGAGCGATGGTAAAACTATACTCTCATACATTCACCCTCTTTGCCTCCAATGAAAAGTTCTTTGTCCTCCAACAGACTCGTCACCTAAGTGCACCACTCACTAAACTTTTCCCCCTCTCAATTCTATGATTCACCTCATCTTCATGAGACCCATTCCGCTGACACGTCCACAATCCCCAAATATCTGAATACATTCACCGTCCACCATACTCTCGATCCCTCGCAATCAGATATTCAATCTTTCATCACCTAATCTTTTTGTTATCCTCATACCTTACTCTTTCCTAGTATTCACCTTTAATTTTCTTCCTTTTTCACACCCTATCTAAACCAAATTCATCCACCAATCCTCTGCAACTCTCTTCAGAATCTCCCAAGAAGCACAGTGGTCATCATCAAAGAGCAGCTGTGACAACTTCCCACTTTGTGTGTGATTCTTATCTTTAACTCCACGCCTCATGCAAACCCGTCGCATTTACTTCTCTTACAACCCCATCCTATAAATATATTAAACAACCACGGTGACATCACTACATCCTTGTCTAAGGCCTACTTTTACTGGGCAATTAATTTCCCCTCTATAAAAAACCATACATACTTCTAACTTGAGCCTCACTTATCCTCATATAAACTCTTCACTGCTTCATAACTCTACCTCCTACACCATCACTTTGCAACACAGCCACATAGCCCCCCTACCACCCTGTCATACGGCCTTTTCCAAATTAATAAATGCCACAAAGACCTCTTTAGAGCCGTATCTAAATACTGTTTCACTTAATGATGTTTCACTGTAAACACCTGGTCCACCACAACCCCCTACCTTCCTAAAGCCTCCTTGTTCATCTGCTATCCTATTCTCCATCTTACTCTTAATTCTTTCAATAATAACTCTAACCATACACTTTACCAGTTATACTTAACAACTTATCCCCCTATAATTTTTGCACCTCTTTTATCCCCTTTGCCTTTATACAAAGGAATTCTATGCATGCTCTCTGCCTAATCCTAGGTACCTTACCCTCTTTCCATACATTTAATAAATAAATTTGCACCAACCACTCCAAAAACTATAATCCCCACCTGCTTTTTAACTATTTCTATCTTATGATATCACATCAATCCGGCTGCCTTATTACCCTCCCTTTCATTTTACCTACTGCCCTCATGACTTCACCCCCCACACTCACAACTGGCTCTTCCTCACATTCCAACAAGATTCATTCCTCCTTGTCCCTATACACGAAATTCACAGCTTCCCTATCTTCATCACATTTAAACAATTCCTCAAATATTCCCTCCATCTTCTCAATACCTCTAACTCCTCGCATTTATAACTCGCCTCTCCTATTTTAACTGACAATCCATTGTTCTCAAGGGGCTTTCTTAACTTGTTAATCTCACTCCAAAACTTTTTCTTATTTTTCAACAAAAATTGCTGATAACATCTCACCCACTCTCTCAGTTGCTCTCTTTTACATTGCTTCACCACGTCCTCTTAGCCTCTCACTTTTTCTCTCTCCATACTCTTCCCTCTTTGCATACTTCTACTTTGCAAAAAAACTTATCATATGCTAACATTTCTCCCTTACTACTCTCTTACATCATCATTCCACCAATCGCTTCCTCTTCACCTCCCGCAACCGCCTACTATCCTGTAACCACAACTTCTGCTGAACACTGCTAACACTACATTTTTAAACCCTACCCCATACCTCTTCGACCCCATTGCCTATGCTCTCATTAGCCCATCTATCCTCCAATAGCTGTTTATATCTTACCCTAACTGCCTCCTCTTTTAGTTTATAAACCTTCACCTCTCTCTTCCCTGATGCTTCTATTCTCCTTGTATCCCATCTACCTTTTACTCTCAGTGTAGCTACAACTAGAAAGTGATCTGATATATCTGTGGCCCCTCTATAAACATATACATCCTGAAGTCTACTAAACAGTCTTTTATCTACCAATACATAATCCAACAAACTACTATCATTTCGCCCTACATCATATCTTGTATACTTATTTATCCTCTTTTTCTTAAAATATGTATTACCTATAACTAAACCACTTTCTATACAAAGTTCAATCAAAGGGCTCCATTATCATTTACACCTGGCACCCAAACTTACCTACCACACCCTCTCTAAAAGTTTCTCCTACTTTAGCATTCATGTCCCCTTACCACAAATTACTCTCTCACTTGGTTCAAAGGCTCCTATACATTCACTTAACATCTCCCAAAATCTCACTCTCTCCTCTGCATTCCTCTCTTCTCGAGGTGTATACACGCTTATTATAACCCACTTCTCGCATCCAACCTTTACTTTAATCCACATAATTCTTGAATTTACACATTCATATTCTCTTTTCTCCTTCCATAACTGATCATTCAACATTACTGCTACCCCTTCCTTTGCTCTAACTCTCTCAGATACTCCAGATTTAATCCCATTTATTTCCCCCCACTGAAACTCCCCTACCCCCTTCAGCTTTGTTTCGCTTAGGGCCAGGACATCCAACTTCTTTTCATTCATAACATCAGCAATCATCTGTTTCTTGGTCATCCGCACTACATCCACGCACATTTAAGCATCCTAGTTTTATAAAGTTTTTCTTCTCTTTTTTAGTAAATGTCTACAGGAGAAGGGGTTACTAGCCCATTGCTCCCGGCATTTTAGTCGCCTCATACGACACACATGGCTTACAGAGGAAAGATTCTTTTCCACTTCCCCATGGACAATAGAAGAAATAAAGAAGAACAAGAGCTATTTAGAAAAAGGAGAAAAAACTAGATGTATGTATATATATATATATGCATGTGCGTGTCTGTGAAGTGTGACCAAAGTGTAAGTAGGAGTAGCAAGATATCCCTGTTATCTAGTGTGTTTATGAGACAGAAAAAGAAACCAGCAATCCTACCATCATGAAAAACAGTTACAGGTTTCTGTTTCACAGTCATCTGGCAGGACGGTAGTACTTCCCTGGGTGGTTGCTGTCTACCAACCTACTACCTACAATATATATATATGGGAGATGACCGACTTGTTGAAAAAAAAAATATATATATATATATATACATATATATATATATATATATATATATAAAATCTAAAAACCTTGTGGTTAACACTTACCAAATATGTAAATATGGGAATGATGCCGTCTAGACTATACAAGACCCGATGAATAATGGTGTAATAACTATCAATAAGCTGGAAGTCATCCAAATGCTGCAAGAAAATAATGTTAGAAATTAATAAATTATTCTGTAGCTTTTAATGGTTTAATTTATTTAAATAGCCACATATGTCATCATGATTAGTTAATGTGCATTTTCATCAAAGTAAAATGTCCATCCAGTAGCTGAAAGGAAAGAGACTAAAAGAGTCTTGTCCTACATTTCGTAGTTCCTTGTCTTGACAAGAGCCACATGCTAGATGGCAAACAATGTAAGATCTCAATGTTTTTTGCATATTACAGTTTAAACTAAAAAAAAAAAAAAAAAAAAAAAAAAAAAAAAAAAAAAACAGAAAGGTATGCTCAAGACTGAGGTCATGCTGGTTTCCTGAAATACATCACAGTACTGGCAAATATGCCAGTTTCTAGAGATTGGGTGATAAAATTTTTACGGATACTGATATTCAATTTTAGGCTGATGCCTCTACCATAAAGAAAGCCAATACCCACCAATATCATAAAAAATAGCTGATACTGACTAATGCTCAGGTTTAGGTCTTTACCAATACCTAGCTGATACTCACTGATACTTGATGCCGATACCAATACTCTGTCATATCACTACCAGTTTCTATTGTGAACGTACTGTAGCATTTTAAAAAAAAGTCAGAGATACAGTACAAGTACAGTATAGAAATTTCTAAATTATGTACATTTTTGAAATTTATTTAGGTGCCTTTTTCTTGGAAATTTAAGACGTTTTTGGGTACTCCTAGAAAATTAAAGTTTCCCAAATGTCAGCTCACAGAAATTGTACAGGTATGCTTATTTAAGTATTTGAAGCACAAATTCAAAACTGAGCAAGAAATAATTTTACTAATCATGCATAACAACTTTAGCCTAATGAAACTACCAGTAAGCTACTGTCACAATTCTGAACTGCTGTATCCTCAGACTGGCTTCTTCATAAGGTGATGCAATACCTGGCAAGAAAAAGAAGAAAGTTCCCCTTCATAAAAAATGCATGGCTCCATGGGGAAGTGGAGAAGAATCTTCCTCTGTAAGCCATGTGTTGTAAGAGGCAACTAAAATGCTGGGAGCAAAGGGCTAGTAACCCCTTCTGTATGATTTACTAAATATAAAATGAAGAAAAACTTTCATTTCTTTTTCAGATCACCCTGTCTCAAATAGAGATGGCTGATGTGCTAGAAAAAATATGCATAATTACCAAACAAATCTCCAGTTTTCAGCATTTACCATAAAAGAAAATGGTTTCCAGCAGTTGCAGTACCTGCTACCTCCTCTAGTCAAATCATTCTGCTGTTCTTCAACTCTGTAGAAAACTTTTTAGCATTTCTTTAGTGCCTCTTATTTTTTGGTTTATAGGTAAGGACTCTTCTTCTCTGTTTATGGTACTGAAAAATCTTCCTTTCCAATTTTTTTCATATCCTTTGATAATCTTTTACAGTACATGATTATCATGTCACCTGCCCAACTCTTAACCCTTTGATTGTTTCGGCCGTACATATACGTCTTACGAGCCAGTGTTTCGGACGTATGTATACTCAATAATTCTAGCGGCTTTAAATCAAGCAGGAGAAAGCTGATAGGCCCACATGTGAGAGAATGGGTCTGTGTGGTCAGTGTGCACTGTATAAAAAAAAAATCCTGCAGCACGCAGTGCATAAAAACTTCGACCGTGTTTTTGGATGAAAACACCGACTTTGAGGTGTATTTTCCTATAGTATTTATGGTTGTATTCTCATTTTCTTGGTCTCATTTGATAAAATGGAAAACATATTACAAAAATAGAGATGATTTTGATTAGTTTCACGATGAAAACGACCTTGAAATTGAGCTCAAAGTAGTGGAAATGTTTGATTTTTACCAATGTTCAAGAGTAAGCAAATCACACCACACGTCCAATACATGTCAACTGGGAAGTCTAATATTATTTCACTAGTGCACTGATATTATTTATACCATTTTTACAATAATGCAGTAGCCTGCATAACAGTAAATCTTCTATTTTTTTGTGTGAATAAAAAATAAAAATAGAAAGCAAGAGGAATATAAGAGGGGTCTGGAGACATGACTAATGAACAGAGGATATGTTATTTCAGTGCCAAGAATGTCTGCACTGTTTATTCTGGACCCCATTTTGAAATTGGCATCTTTTTTAATTTGTGTGAAATTGCCCAAACTGCCAATTTCTGACCACTTTATTGGGTAGTTGAAATCAGTAAATGGGCAGTTTCCTGTACTCAATTGATAGAAAAAATGGAGTTCTAAAGAAATAGCTATGAGTTTGGTCGACTGGAACAATGGAATTGGCTGAAAATAGGGCTCAAGGTCGGTGAAGTTGCCAATGTGTATACTACATCGCCGAGATCGTTACATTTGTGGGAGCGTAATTCCGAAAGTTTTCGATCAAATTTCATACTTTTAGTGTCATTACCATCGGAAAAAGATTCTCTATCATTTCATAAGAAATTTCTTTTTTTTTCCAAAAATTTTTCGACACCAGGAGACACTTCAGGATTTGGAGTTGCGACAGTCAAAGGGTTAATGAGTGAGGAATGCAAAATGCCTTCAGCCTTTTCATCGTGACATGCATCTTGAAGTTCTGGTGGCCATTTTGAAGTCTTTCTAAACTACTACTAACCTGTCCACATGTTTTTATTAAAGTGTAGACACCATGCTACCATTGCAAATTCCAGTTTTTATCTAATATATGTTGCAGATATCTATACTGATGAGCTGTTGAAGTGTGAGCAGGATAATATTTTGTGAAGGGATTCAGGGAAACCAGTTAGCCTGACTTGAGTCCTGGAAATGGGAAGTACAATGCCTGCAATTTAAAGGAGGGGTTTGGGATATTGTCAGTGTAGAGGTTGACTTTTAAACTGTCATATCTGAGCACCTCTGCAAAGACAGTGATTATGTATGAGTGAGGTGAAAGTGTTGAATGATGATGAAAGTATTTTCTTTTAGGGGATCTTCTTTCTTTTTGGGTCACCCTGCCTTGGTGGGAGACGACCGACGTGTTAAAAAAAATCTATACACGTATATACAATATATATATTTTTTTATTTTTTAACAGGTTGGCCATGTCCCACCGAGGCAGGGTGACCCCTAAAGAAAGAAAAAACTTTCATCATTATTCAACACTTTCACCATCACTCATACATAATCATTGTCTTTACAGAGGTGCTCAGATACGACAGCTTAGACATCCCTCCAAATTGTCGATATCTCAAACCCCTCCTCTAAAGTGCAGGCACTGTACTTCCCATTTCCAGGACTCAAGTCAGGCTAACTGGTTTCCCTGAATCCTTTCACAAAATATTACCCTGCTCACACTCCAGCTTGTCAGGTCCCTTTGCTCTTAACATGCTCATGCACTATTTTAATTAAAAATTTTAGTAACAGAAATTTTTCAGTGTATATGTACTACTCATCTTATTTGTGGTTGCAGGGGTCAAGTCACAGCTCCTGGCTGTCTCTCTCTCTCTGTGCATGTGTGTGTGTGTGTGTGTGTGTGTGGTGTGTACTCACCTATTTGTACTCACCTATTTGTGGTTGCAGGGGTCGAGTCTTAGCTCCTGGCCCCGCCTCTTCACCGGTTGCTACTGGGCCCTCTCTCTCCCCGCTCCATGAGCTTTATCAAACCTCGTCTTAAAACTGTGTATGGTTCCTGCCTCCACTACGTCATTTTCTAGGCTATTCCACTGCCTTACAACTCTATGACTGAAGAAATACTTCCTAATATCTCTCTGACTCATTTGTGTCTTCAACTTCCAATTGTGGCCTCTTGTTTCTGTGTCCCCTCCCTGGAACATCCTGTCTTTGTCCACCTTGTCTATTCCACGCAGAATTTTATATGTCGTTATCATGTCTCCCCTGACCCTCCTGTCCTCCAGTGTCGTCAGGCCGATTTCCCTTAATCTTTCTTCATAGAACATTCCCCTTAGCTCTGAACTAACCTTGTGGCAAACCTTTGTACTTTCTCTAGTTCTTGACGTGCTTTATCAAGTGCGGGTTCCAAACAGGTGCTGCATACTCCAGTATGGGCCTGACATACACGGTGTACAGTGTCTTGAACGATTCCTTACTAAGGTATCGGAATGCTGTTCTCAGGTTTGCCAGGCGCCCATATGGCTGCAGCATTTATCTGATTGATGTGTGCTTCCGGAGACATGCTCGGTGTTATACTCACCCCAAGATCTTTCTCCTTGAGTGAGGTTTGCAGTCTTTGGCCACCTAGCCTATACTCTGTCTGTGGTCTTCTGTGCCCTTCCCCTATCTTCATGACTTTGCATTTGGCAGGATTAAATTCGAGAAGCCATTTGCTGGACCAGGTGTCCAGTCTGTCCAGGTCTCTTTGAAGTCCTGCCTGGTCCTCATCAGATTTAATTCTCCTCATTAACTTCACATCATCTGCAAACAGGGACACTTCTGAGTCTAACCCTTCCATCATGTCGTTCACATATACCAAAAATAGCACTGGTCCTAGGACCGACACCTGTGGGACCCCGCTCGTCACAGGTGCCCACTGTGATACATCATTACGTACCATGACTCGTTGTTTCCTCCCTGTCAGGTATTCTCTGATCCATTGCAGTGCCCTTCCTGTTATATGCGCCTGATGCTCTAGCTTCTGCACTAATCTTTTGTGAGGAACTGTGTCAAAGGCCTTCTTGCAGTCCAAGAAGATGCAATCAACCCACCCCTCTCTCTCGTGCCCTTACTTCTGTTATATTATCAAAAACTCCCGAAGGTTTGTGACACAGGATTTGCCTTCCGTGAATCCATGCTGGTTGGCATTTATACTCTTGTTCAGTTCCAGGTGCTCCACCACTCTCCTCCTGATAATCTTCTCCATAATTTTGCATACTATACACTCAATGACACAGTCTATAGTTTAGTGCCCCCTTTTCTGTCTCCTTTTTTAAAAATGGGAACTACATTTGCCGTCTTCCATACCTCAGGTAGTTGCCCATTTCCAGGGACTTTTTGAAGATTGTGGTAAGTGCCCACGCACAACAAATCT